GGGCGCTCGCATCGGTCCACTGATGCAAATTGCAAAATCAAATCTACTGTGACGTAACGAGGCATTCGATTCAAGTCATGGCGGCAAGGATATTTGGATATGCAAACACTATATGCAAATGAAACAAATATGCGAAGAGAAATCCCTCAAAATTGACGGATAACAAATAATTTACAGTCGAACCAATTACTACCAAGTGGAAAAATGGAAGGGATCTTATGCCCACGATGTGAAACTCGATCGAACTGAGGGCTCTAATTAAGTAAGTTAAATTTCTCTATATTTTTACAAATGGTAGTAAATTACTAAATTGTTCAGTTCAAGAAGTGTGTAATTAAAGTGGAAAATGGGGTCCACAATTAATATAGATTTGTATGTAATAACAAAATAATTACAGTTTGTGTCTATTACTGTTGTTGCTCTATATTCTAGAAAGACCAGAAAGATGTTAGTGGTTGGGTGGGGGGGGGAGGAGGGGGGGAGGGGGGGTGGGGAGAGTTTGACATTTTACAGAGGTTTGCTTGTCCGGAAGCAAACTAGCCCCAATACAAACTTGACAGCTTGCTTTACTGAGGCAAATTTTATCTCTGTTTACATGAGATTATATCCCGTACCCAGACCTTCACTTTTCTCACAGCTGGCGGGCAAAGAAAAATGAAGATCTGATACACATGTTATTAAATGTTTGTGTCCTACAAGTGCCTTTATGGTTGTAACTCCGATTGGCTATTTCTAGCATGAGTATTTATGCCATATTTAATGTATTGTTTTGATAATTGGTTAATGCCATAATTAAATAATGATATATTTATATAGTGATTGTAACTATATTTAGCTTGTTGTTATTATGTGAAATTGATAATTCTTCTGCCACATTTTGATTGGATACCAAAAATAAAACTATAGTGTGGGTGGAAAGTAAATCCGAATGGATCAGGACTTGCATCAGTCTCTCTATGTAATTAGAGAGCAAGTTGCAGGTTAATGAGATTTCTAATAGTAATGCAACATTGGTTAGAAGACTAAGGAAGAGTTTACATGAAAGGTAATTGTTTCAAGTTGCAACTTCCAGTGGTATCTCCTACTTCATTTTATTTTCATTTTATATAGAAATGACCTGGCATGCCTTGTGGCAGGGGTCTTACTTTGCATTGACTGAGATATTGGGCAATTACACTAGCTGGATATTTTGCAAACAAAGATGATTACCTGGGCTTGCTCGCCTACCATAGTCGAGTGTTTATAATGCTTTGTCTGTACAAATATAATATAAGCTGTATATGTCATATGACATTCTCCTGACAGATTTTAATTTTAGAGTCAATGATAAAATGATGGACGGTATAAATACTGTATATACTGTAACTGGTGTATTCAGGTTATAATTATGAAATTTGCTCACAAAAGTGGGATAGTTCATAGTTTGGAAAATATATTTAATTAAATTATATATTTGTAATGCTAATTATCCCAATATTATGTTTTGGATAGCCAGCATGCCAAACTGAGGATTACGATTACCATTGATAAGTGTATGGATATATTCGACAAGATGTGCATTTATATAATAACATAGGGAAAATTAAAATGCCTTGAGAATGCTTCCAGAAGTCTCCCCAAAGTCTCCCCAAAGCCTCCCACTGCGCACCCCTTCTGCGCAGATTTAGATCACGTGACCTATGACGTCACTTCCGGTTGAGAAAGAGGCCATTACCACCATTGTAATGTTCGTGGTTTTGTATCAATATCAAGCACTTTTAAGTATAACAATAGATATCAAACAACTTGTACAAACAGCATAGTACGTATCCAATTACTTCCTAGTTCCCTAGCCTCGTGCTTCTAAAATACTTAACTAACTTTCTAGTCACGTGTGTGCTAGTGTCAATAATGTCAACATTGCATCTCTCCCTTGATTTAAATATGAACTCTAGTACTAACTATAACAAAATATGCATATAATGTTTAAACTGTATCTTATCTGTTTTAGTCCAGGTCAATCATAAATGTTATTTCCATATCTGTACACCCGCTGTCTTTCTCTTGCCGGATATCTCGGACCATCATCTTGTCTCTGACCATTGTTCTGCCGCGGACGATCATTCTGTCTCAGTCCATCATACTGTTCATGCTCTTCGTGGACATCTTCATCTGAGGAATAATTTTCTTCATCCATTATCTCTGTTGACTCCAACGATCTGCCATGTCTGGGGTGATACTTTTTAAAGAACGAAATGTTCCGAGTTATATATTTCCCATTCCTAATTGCTGTGATTCTGTTCCCACGGCGATTTGTGACTTCATATGGTATTGGATCGTATTTTGTGGACATTTTATTTGCTTTCGGTTGCCGCACCAAAACTAAATCACTTTTCTTGATGTCAGCACACTTAACTCTTCTTTTGGAATCAGCATATTCTTTTTGGTTCTTTTTCAACCTTTCATCTCTCTCCTTCACCTCTTGATGAAGTGAAGAATCATTTTCGACTGTCACTTGAGGTAATTTTGTTTGAATCTTACGGTTGTATAGCAACTCGGACGGTGACTTGCCAGTGGTGGAATGTGGGGTAGCTCTGTAGTTGAGCAAAAATTTAAACATTTCACGTTTCCAGTCTTTGTTTTCATGATGGGCAGATTTCACAGCCTTTACAAGTGGTTTCATAAAGTTCTCGGCTTGTCCATTTCCTTGGAGCCATAATGGTGAGCTTGGTTTATGTTTAATGCCGAGTTCTTTCAAGTACAGACTAAATTCATGGCTCTGGAATGGTGGACCGTTATCACTCTTTAACACCTTTGGAATACCATGGGTGGCAAAAATTCGTTCAAGTTTCAATATTGTTGATTTTGCAGATGTTGAACTTACAATTTCCACCTCTGGAAATCGTGAATATGCATCAATAATCACTAACCGATATGAACCACCTAGAAATGGTCCACAAAAATCAATGTTCACTGTATGCCAGGGTTGGGGAGGCAGCGTCGTCATTCGCAGTGGTTCTTGGTGACTGTTTGGTCCATTTGCCTGACAAACAAGTATCCACTGTGTGCTTAGCAAGCTTGTCTATACCTGGATACCAAACCTTTTCTTGCAACAACTGTTTAGTTTTTACTAGCCCTTGGTGGCCTTCATGAGCAATTTGAACAGCCTTTAGTCTAAGGCTTTCTGGAAGCACAATTCGCGAGCCTCGTAATATAATTCCATCATGCTCGTTTAGTGTAAGTTCTGTTTTAATTTTCTCACATGCTTTCAAGTCCAAAACCTTTACATTGGGATTGGATTGTATGTCTAGAGTGTCTATTAAATGCCATTTAATTTACCTGTTGTGATGAGGTTGCTTAGGATCTGTAATGTTGAATCAGCCATGGTGGCTTGTTGTATTTCAGGCAGAGTCATTGCTCTTGGCACAGCATGTTGGGTAAGGAAACAAACATAATTGTCAGCCATTGTTTGGAACTGTCTGTCATCAGTGGTGGTGTTAACAGGTAAATGTCGAGATAGGAAATCTGATGGATTGTCAAGTCCCTTTGTATACCTTACATTAAAGTCATAATCTTGCAAGCGTAAATTCCATCTCTCAATTCTGGCTGGAGGTCTTGATTGTGGATTATTTAAAATCAACTCGACTGGTTTGCAATCAGTTATCAGAGTAAAATGTCCTCCGTATAGATAGATATGTAAACGTTCAATTGCCCACACAATTGCAAGAGCTTCTCGCTCTGTTTGACAGTATCGTCTCTCAACATCCGACAGCGAACGACTGATACATGCAACAACATTTTGTTGGTCTGATCCTGGGACTTTCTGTGTCAGAATAGCTGAGAGACCAAAAGGTGATGCATCAGTGATAAGTTCTGTTTCCTTGGTTTGATCAAAATATGCCATAACTGTTGCACTTGTGAGGGCAGCTTTTACTGCGTTGAAGGATTTAGCATGCCTAGATGTCCAGCAAAAAGGCACATCTTTTCTCGTTAATTCTCGCAAAGGCTCTGTGAGATCACTGAAATTAGGGATAAATTTCGCACAATATGTCACCATCCCAAGGAAACTCCGAACAGCTTTAATTGAATTTGGAGGTGGGCAGTTGTGAGTTGCTGAAACCTTCGCTGGATCCGGTGAAATGCCATCACCTGAGAAGACAAAACCAAAAAATGTGAGCTGCGATTGACTGAACTCACATTTGTCTTTGTTGAAGGTTAATCCAATGAGTGAAAACCGCTCAAAAATTTCATGAAGAGCTTTGTCATGCTCAGCTTGGGTTATGCCAAAGATAATTATGTCATCACTAATGTTGATGGCATTCGGAATGTAACGGATTTGTTCGCTAATTACATGTTGGAAGATTTCACTTGCCGAATTGGTGCCAAAATTCAACTTCTTATAGCGGTAGAGTCCTTTGTGCGTTACAAATGTGGTTATGTGTCGACTTTCCTCAGCGAGAGATAACTGGTGGTATCCCGAGCGAAGATCAAGCTTTGTAAATATGGTGGCGCCGTTTAATTTGTGAATTAAATCATCCACAGTTGGGGTTGGATGTCTTTCGCGTTGAATTGCCTGATTAGCCATGCGCATATCAATGCATAGCCTGATCTCACCATCTTTCTTTGGGATAACAACTAATGGACTGACCCAAGGAGTGGCATCTGATACTTTTTCAATAATTCCATCACTTTCTAACGTGTCGACCTTTTGCCGCATGTGGAAAGGAATACGACGGGGGGTTTGTGCTACTGGAGGGACAGTATCATCAATGTGCAATTTAACTTCAAAATTTTTAAGAGTGCCAATTCCGTTGAACAGATGGGCATACTCTTTCATCAGTTGTTCATGGGTGGCATGTTCCGGTTTCACATTGTTAACATTCAGCATGATTAGACCCAAAGCAGATGCCGTTTGATAGCTTAGCAAACAACCAAAATTTCCTTTGATAACATGAACTTGCGTGGTTGTTGCACCAGTCAAACATTCTAGAGTTGCACGAAATTGTCCCATAACAGGTAGCTGGTTTGTAGCTCCATATGCAAAAATACGTGTTTTGGAACGTTGAAGGGCTATGGGTCTCTGTTTTTGCAAGGTGTTGAAAGCAAGTTCATCGATGATGTCGATGGAAGCACCAGTGTCGATAACCATGTTGATAGGGGTGGTGTTGACCGAGATTTGAACCTGTGGAGTTGTTTTGTCTCTACCTGTCGGTTTCAGAGTAAAAATAAATTCATCCTCGCTACTGCTTTCACTGCTGGAGGGTTTGCCATAAATCTTGTGAACTTTGTTTTTGTGGTATTTTTTTTGAAGGCCTTCGATTCTCTTGTTGACCGACGCGAGCCTTGCGAGCACTACGACAGACTTTCGCAAAATGGTTTGATTTTCCACAGTTCAGACAAGATTTTCCTTTCGCGGGACAAATATTGTTGTTATGGGGCCAGGGCCCCCCACAATTCCGACACTCTGATGAGGTGTAAAAGTCTTGGCGGTGAAACGATGTATGTTGTTTATCACGATGGTTGTTATGTTTCGTTGTAGGATGGACAGCTTCAACTACTTCGTCAGAAATGTGTGTTGAGTCAAGTGCGTTTTCAATGCCGGTTGCCTGCGATTCACTGAGTTCAAAAGCTCTGCCTTTTGCGAGAATCTTGGCTAGCGTAACTTCCGAGTCAAGCAGGGCGTAGCGTCGTAGACGTTTCGATAAACAGTTTTGAATTATGGCCGATTTTACTTCCTTGTCGATATTTTCGAAGTCACAGGTTGCCGCCAGCTTCCTAAGACGAGTTGAAAACTGATCGATTGTTTCATGTGGTTGTTGTTTGGCTTCACGAAACTTAAAAATTTCAAAATCGACATGTTTTTTAGGTGAAAAATACGTATCGAGGGCAGCGATAGCGGAATCATAGTCGTCGTCTTCGCCGATGTCAACAAGGGTATCAAAAATATCCTGAGTCTCTTGGCCAGCTTGGTACAACAAGAGAGCCCGCTTTTGTTTCTTTTCAGTCACATTCAGAGCAACAAGATATGTTTCAAATCGTCGTTTCCACTTTTTCCAGCGCTGACTGAGAGAGTTTGGATCGGACATAGGATCAAATGGCGCCATTGGAGCTACATTGATTCGGCCAGTCGCCATGACTGTATTCGTAAACTAGAGATTTCAAAATCGTTTGTATTGATAAACGATAGCTGTTTTTTTTTTGTTTGTTTGTTTACCTCGTCGCCAATGTAATGTTCGTGGTTTTGTATCAATATCAAGCACTTTTAAGTATAACAATAGATATCAAACAACTTGTACAAACAGCATAGTACGTATCCAATTACTTCCTGGTTCCCTAGCCTCGTGCTTCTAAAATACTTAACTAACTTTCTAGTCACGTGTGTGCTAGTGTCAATAATGTCAACATTGCAACCATGAGGGAGAAAATTCTGAAATCCTTTTCAGAGTACCAAAAGCGTGGTAGTGGGTGGAGGCTCCGGAGGGTGGATAAACTTGAGATCCATATCGAAGAATTTCAACCACTTAGGGGAAAAGGATATGAACCTCTACCTGAGTTAATCGAAAGGAAGGAAGCAATTATCAATATGAAGAACAATGACGATTTAAGTGGGCAGTAACCCGCGCATTAAATCCTACGAAAAACCACCCGGAAAGAATTACAAAGATCCTAAGAAAATAGGTTAAGGAACTAGACTGGGAAGGAATAGAGTTCCCAACCCTTCTAAGTAATATCAAGAAATTTGAAAAAAATAACAACATCGGTGTAAACGTATTCAGCGTCGACGAGAGCCTAAAGGTATACCCTTTAAGATTAACCAAATTGAGAATGGAATCCCACTTCACAAGTTTATTCGTATGGAAAAACCACTACAGCGTTATCAGGGATATGTCCAGCCTTGTAGGTGCACAGATTAATGATTACGAGCATAGAAAGTACATCTGTGATTACTGTCTCAATGCGTACGGTTCGGATGAGCTCCTACTAAACCATCTGGAATTATGTTCAGGCAGCGACTATCAAAGGTATGAATACCCCAAACCCGGCAGTACCACAAGGTCTGAAAATTATGAAAGGATACAGACCGTTCCGTTCGTCATCTACGCAGACTTTGAGTGTTACATTGAAGGGTTGGACACGGTGGAACAGAACCTCAACAAGTCAAGCACCATACAATACCAGAAGCATAACCCCAGCGGATTTTGTTACTACATCAAGTGTTTCGATAACTCCATCTACGAACCTAAGCTGGTTCACTATACGCAACAACATCGGTGTAAACGTATTCAGCGCCGACGATAGCCTAAAGGTATACCCTTTAAGATTAACCGGATTGAGAAAAAGAAATCCCACCTCACAAGGTTATTCCTATGGAAAAACCACTACAGCGTTATCAAGGATATGTCCAGACTCGTAAGTACACAAATTAATGATTACGGGCACAGGAAGTACATCTGCGATCGTTGTCTCAACGCATTCGGTTCGGATGAGCTCCTACAAAACCATCTGGAATTATGTTCAGACAGTGATTATCAAAGGTATGAATACCCGAAACCTGGTAGTATTACAAAGTTTGAAAATTATGAAAGGATACAGACCGTTCCGTTTGTCATCTACGCAGACTTTGAGTGCTACATTGAAGGGTTGGACACGGTTGAACAAAACTTCAACAAGTCAAGCACCATCCAAATCTAAAAGCATAATCCCAGCGGATTTTGCTACTACATCAAGTGTTTCGATAGCTCCATGTACGACCCTAAATTGGTACACTCATAGTTAATAGAGGAGATGGTTTGGAAACTCGTTAGCATTACAATAAAATCACAATAAACCTCATTATCTAAGTTGTTCAGGTTTATGCAAAAATGTGGTCTTTCATCGTCACGTGTGTATTGTATTTTTCTCAAGTCAACCAATAGGAATGTTTAAAATGTCTTATTGTTAAAGTCATGGATGGGCAATTGGACAAAACCGTCGCTATTGGCTGGTTGAGCAAAAATACAATACGCACGTGACGATGAAAGACCACATTTTTGCATAAACCTGAACAAAAACATCGATAGTGAGGTTTATTTTAATGCTAATAAGTTTCCAAACCATCTCCTCAATTAACTATGGTACACTGTACCCAACAACATGATTGAGAAACGTTACCAAAATGTTTGTAGACCTTCTTGAGGAGGAAGTTCACAACATATACAATAGGTTAAAAACCGGAAAACCTATCAGAATGTCTCCCAAAGACACAATCAATCATGAGAACGCAATCGAATTCTATGTCTGCAACGGAGAATTCACCGAGGAAAACCACGAGATTAGGGACCACTGTCGCTACACCGGGACATATAGGGGTGCAGCACATAATACGTGCAACCTCAAAATGAAGCAACCGAAGTTCATTCCAATACTCTTCCACAACCTCGTAGGGTATGATGCCCACCTATTCATCAGACACTTGGGGGTAACCAGCGGCAATATCAATTGTATCCCGAAAACGGAAGAGAAGTACATCTCCTTTACCAAAGAAGTCGAGGTTGATGAGTTTTAGGGTGAAGATGGTAAAAGGTCCTTCATTCCTTTAAGTTGATGGGAAGCTCCCTGGATAAGCTCGTCAAGGGTCTTGGAAAGAACGACTTTAGGAATTTGGACCTAATGTCAGCATGCTACACCAATGAACAAAAGGAGCTGCTCAATCAGAAGGGTGTTTATCCTTATAAATACATGGATGGTTTCGACAAACTCGGAGAAGCGTCACTTCCACCAAAGAGCAAATTCTTCAGCAAGCTGAACAACGAAGACATCAGTGATATGGACTACAAAAGAGCTCAGAACGTGTGGAATACCTTCAACATGCAAACCATGAGGGACTACCGCGACCTATACCTGAAAACAGACGTTCTGCTCCTAGCAGACATGATGGAAAACTTCAGAGGGGTTTGTAAGGCAAACTACGGACTGGATCCAATGTGGTACTACTCATCTCCGATCCGGACATGTACCTGCTGATCGAAAAGGGTATCAGGGGTGGGATCAGCACCATTACCAATAGGTATGCTAAAGCAAACAATAAGTATATGAAAAATCATAATCCGCATGAGAAAAGCGTATATCAATCCTATATGGATGCAAACAACCTGTACGGTTGGACCCCTACCCGTCAGGGACTTCGAATGGATGGACTGTGAGGAGTTGGAAGGGTGGAGAAACTATGGTTGTATCCTCGAAGTAGACCTGGAATACCCCGGCGAACTACACGACAAACATAATGAATACCCCCTCACACCCGAAAGAATAGAAGTCAACAGGGCGGAGAAGTCAACAGGGTGGAGAAGCTCATTCCGAACCTAAACAACAAGGAGAAATACGTTGTCCATCACAAGGCGTTAAAGCTATATATACCTTCACCTAGGACTAAGGTTAACCAAATTACATCGAGGTGTAAAATTCGTTGAAGAGTCATGGTTGGAGGAGTATATCCAGCTCAACACGAACCTGCGTACCAAAGGTACTATAAACTTTGAAAAGGATTTCTTCAAATTGATGAACAACTCAGTATTCGGAAGACAATGGAAAACGTAAAAAATAGGGTTGACATCAGGCTTGTTAACGATTAGAAGAAGTGGAACAAGCTGGCTAACTTTAAATCTGTTCCCATTTTTCTACAGTGTTTCATCAAATTTACCAGTGAGTGAAGTTTGTAATTATCATCTTGGACGATAGCAATGATATTCAACCATTTTGAAGAGCTTGCAACCAACGTGACGCCATAAATTAGCGGACATATTCACACTCGTTTAAAGAGTTCTTTCATTTAAGAAAATAAGAAATTTCATGTCATATGCACTTTTAAGGGTTAGTGCTGCCCACAATATGAAAAAAGTATAAACTTTTGCTAGCTTGAGCTTGAAGGATCCCCGTTTGGCAGGGATGATAGAGTGCAGACACAGTACTGAAATGCGGTGCCCACCTACAACTACAAATAAACTAATATTTACGCTACATTGTCCTGTCGGCCGCTAGTTGTTCCATGCGTTAGGATTAAAACTGCACTCTAAAACCTTCAAAATAAATGATTTGTGCTTACAATGCTATCAAAATGAGTACAAAAGTGAGACGAATCCACTGACATACGGACGATAACGAGAAAACCAACAATTCCGAAGTTATCAAGGATCAAACGGACGGCATTTTTAATTAGTTTAATAGTTTTGAGAAATTTGTCAACAATACAATTTCGCTTTTTAAAACTGCACATTCAAACCTTCAAAATATAAAATCTTTGGCACAAACGGCTAACACAATAAAGTGAAAAGTGAGACGAATCCACTGGCATACGGCCGACAAAGAGCGATTTGTGAACAATACAATTTCGCTTGTCTTTCAAAGGACATAAATCGCTAGAATACTCTAATTGTTTAGTAATACTTTTGATATCTGTGAGCATAATTTCTTATGCTGAATCCAACGGTGGTATTTTTGACCTTATTGGGCGCATAAAACCAGAGATAAACACAGCAAAAGTCAATCATGAGAGTCCGAAATCAATTGGAAAGAAAACTTTCCTCGAAAAAATGAATTCGGAAAACGTGAAAGATTAATTTGGGCGGCATCTCTTTCAAAGGCCATAAATCGCTTGAATAAAAATCATCAAATCAATTTTGAAATCAATTTTCCAGCAATAAATACGACTTTTCACGCTGATTCGAACAGTGGTATTGTTGTCCTTGTTTGGCCCATAAAACCAGAGATAAAGTCTAGCAAACAGTCGATCCTGAGAGTACAAGATTAATGAATTTTTCCGCAAAAATCGAGCACGTGCAAGGAATTTTTACTAGGCGATTAAGGAAACGTATTGACGCGAACAAACTAACAAACAAACGGACAAACTCACAGGCAGAATATAATGCGGTGCCAAAAATGGCAAGAAGAAGAAGAAGAATAGAATATATATTCGCTCACAAAAAATATTTACAATGGGAATATAGTTAAAATACAATAATATAAAGTACCGCAATTTCTCGTCTTGGCAGGTGGGATCCTGGGAACAAATAGCGGGGTATCACATAGGCCAGATAGAGGTAGAATCATTCATTATACTGTAAACACTCGATAGAGTTTATATTACAAGAGGTATCATAAAACTAGTATTCCTTTTACAAGTGCTGACATCTTGTATATTCATTGCCAGCATACCTATTACAACCAACTTACAGACAAGGGAAAACTGGTTAAAATTACTAGATGGTGATTATACGGTAGAAAATGGATTTTCCTTTATAGGCAGATTTTATTCCAGATTTTTGACTTAGATTATTCAGTATCCATTAGAGTGAGTAGAAGTCAGTGCCAACAACTCACCCCAAGGCAAAGCCTTCCATTCTGCACCCAAAAGTATCAATTATGAATAGTGGATTTTGTTCATTCAACATTGGCTGCCAGAAATGTGATAAAAGGGCAATGTGCATGCGTACAAAGCTAGATTGTATTATGATTTGTCTTACAAATGACTATTAATACATTAGGTACTAGAACTCTCCACTTGAGTCTTGACGAGTTAAATTGTCCCGCGAGTACAATAATTTGGCATTAACCCATGGATTGAGTTGCATTGCGCCCTGATGCGCCCACTTTATTATTTTACTCTGTCTAATTACAGACGATTTTACTTGTCAAAGGGAGAGTGCTGGCGCTTAATGGGTTAAATACATTAATACAATAAGGAAGTAGACACATAGGGGCACAATGCAACTTAATGAGTAACTAGATTCATGGTCAGATTAACCCATTAACCGCCAGCAGTTCCACTCACAAATAAAATTGTCTGGCATCAGACAGGAATACAATAAATTAAGGTGCAATGCAACTTCATGGGTTAAAATTTGAAATCTTGCCTGTGGGACCACGATTTCTGGGTTGGAATGTTCTAGCAATCACTTGGTCTATGGGTTGTGAAACCATAGTGAATCAAATTTTTCCTGTGAAAACAAATAAATAATTTATCTGTAGTCATTCATTATGTAGGATGGAGTTTACAACGTGATAAAGAATTTTTGAACAGCAATATCGTTTAGATGCTTTCTAAAATACAAGGGTGATGTTGTTGGTACTGTATTGTGATCTAATATGCTATTGGCTCATTCTTGATTCCAGAAAACATTCGTACATTCGTATGGTTATGATTTCACCTCAGTTGTACATGAGAGCCATGCTACTTGTTTAACCCATTATGTGACAGCAATGGCAAGTAAAATAATATGACATTACACATGTACAGTAAATGTGTTGCTGTGGGTGCAAATTTTACTCACGTTTTTGTGTAAAATGTATACATTATTTTTTGCAGTGTGGGTATTGCCCCACGAAAATGCCCAGAATCTTGTAAATGTTTTAATGTTAATTAAACTTGTAAATACACCTTTTTAAACTTGCATTGTGTGATTATTAATACGTCTAGTGAGCAACGAGAAAATGGTGCTGTCTTCAGAATCAAAACATCCCCTTTTGAAACACCGACACAGCCCCTTTTGAATGCGGCAAAACACCCCCTTTGGAAAAAAACAAAACAGCCCCATTTGAAAGAGACAAAACAGCCCCTTTTCAAAACACCAAACAGCCCTTTTTGAAAGAGCCAAAACAGACCCACATACGAGCTAAATTGGACCTTTTTTGGGAGCTCTAATTCTAAGATTGAAAACAGCCCTTCGAAAGAACCAAAATAGCCCCACATAATAGCCAAAATAACCCTTTATACTAATAGTCCAAATCGACTCTATATTAAAGGGGACAAAACAGCCCCATTAAAATGGGGCCGTCTCAGGGTCAAAATTTCGGACCCATTTTTGGGGCCAAAATGGCCCGTCTGAAATTACAGTGCAAGATTCTTTGTCAGACATAGTTTATGTTTTTTGGCTGATTTACATGTTTCGCAATCTTCCCATATCACCGAAAGGGCACGTCATTTAAGTCCTTCATTGATGTAGGGAAGTTTCAAATAAATATTTTTTCATATAGATATAAAGTTTGTTCGTTCACTGCAACCAGGTATATCAATCATGTTTCGCTCGCTACTCTGGTTTAAATAAATGATTACAAAGCCCAGTCGAATTGTAATCAAGACCCAACGTTTCGACACTCCAGTCTAGTGTCTTCATCAGGGGTGATCTAAAACTGCGACCGTGGCTTCTTAAATACCCAAGGGATGACGTCACATGCCAAGAAGATGATATATTCCTCTGGCAAATAGGCGCCGTCATCCCTATTCAAAGCATGATGACTCATATTTATATGCTACGCTTCTAGGCAAAGTCTTTGACCAAAGCGATTGTTTGTGGTAATTACTTTAGAGTTTTCCCACGCAATCTCGTGTTTGGTGTAACATACATGTTCGGCTAAAGCTGATTTTCCCTTGTCTAAAGTTGAAACAGCCTTTTGATGTTCTTTTAGCCGTGTACCAAACTTGCGTTTAGACTGACCCAAATACTCTTTGTCGCAGTCACGGCATGGTATAGAATATATAGCTTGAGTCTTCTGATTTTTTTCAACAGGATCTTTTGGCTTTGCGAAAATATGGCCTAAAGTCAAATAGGGTTTTAAGGCAACCTTAATATTACAATTACTTAACATTCTCTTGATTGGTTCTGTGACACCTTGAATGTATGGAACAATTGCAAAACCCCTATTAACGGAGGTATCACCCTCGGAGTTAGTTCCTACAAACAGGTGACCTCAAGCAATCATTAAGAAAACGCTTTGGGTAATTGTTTCCCCCTAAAACATTTAGAACATATTCACGTTCATTAGCTTGAGAATCACTGTTTGACGGCAACGATTCAGCAGTAGTAATATAGGTACCGATCGATCCGGATTTTTGAGGGTGCGTAAGGGTGCGCTAATTAATATTCATACAAATGAGGGTGCGTAAGGATGCTGAGGGTGCGCTAATTAATATTCATAAAAATGAGGGTGCGTAAGGATGTTGAGGGTGCGATAATTAATACTCGTACAAATGAGGGTGCGTAGTGACGTTACTCATTAACATACGTCATAATTATATGCAATGACGTCACGAGGGCGAGCTTAAACACGATCAGGTGAAACTTGCTGACTACGCATTTTTTAGCGTCCCTCCACGTGTATGATACAATAGTTAGGGATATACACAAGAGAAGAATTATGTTGTTGTCTGGAGTTTTATAAGTACAGCTCTGGCATTTTGCTGTCATTGTCAAGTGATTCCTTTAATTTAGCTCCTAGAGGAGTAAAAAATCTGATACTATATGAAATATCATTAGTGTTATATATCTAAAACTTATATATTCGGGGTACACAGCTATATGTTTTGTTGTTAAGTAATATATAAATATTATCAAGCGTCAAAACGCTGAGAAATAGCATGCGGTAAGAGTTATTATGTATATACAATTAAACTATATTTAAATCCCGGTCTGCCATATGAGGTCTATATACGAGAGAATATGTTGCTGTTTAGAGTTATATAAACACATGGAAATTAGAGATTATGATATATAATTGTCAAGCGATTTCTATATTTTATTGCTAGTTTTTTAAAGTACTAAAACTCGGATAAGGTTAATAAATTTAAGCTATATTAAAGCACACCGGTTGCTATGTGTTGTTAGGGTGACACTAATTAAAGGATTAACTTTTATCAGAGATTTGCATTTTTCTACTGTGTGGATAAATACGGGTAGATTAGGATATTCATTGCGCGGGCGTCGCGGGTTATCCGTGCGGGAAGAGAGAAAGCGATTTAGACAAGACAGGAGCGCTTTGCAGCCAAAAGTTGAAAGACTTTGTGTGGAATCCTGTAATGGTTGTCAAGTCGGTCATCCTGGTCAAAGACAACATGACTGCCGCATGATGAACGAAAACGAACGAGGGCAAATAAGGAATCTATTCGTCACAAAAATCATATTTTAAACATATTTTAGACATATTTTAAACTAAACAGTTCCTAATCCCGAGTTGTCAACGTCGTTGTTAAGGTCAATATTTACATGTTGTTCAACGTTATTTTAGCAAATATTCTACATACATATATACTGTTAAGATGACCGAGTCAGATCATAAGTAAGCTTATCAAGAATATAAGTTAGAATTGGAACAGTTGTAATATATTTTGCAACAAAAACATGTAATCGTTATATACGTTGTTATTTGTTGCTAAGTCATTAGCGACGCTTGCGTGCATGCATATATTAACGTACAACATATTTGTACACTAATCAGGCGGGCGGATCGCGCGGGCGGAAAGAGCGGGCTTTGCCGGCAAAAATTTACACAATATTTCAGTTTTTAAATTTATTTCTTCAAAACGTTTTACAAAATTTAGTACGGTCTACTTCTAAGAGCATAACGTCTAGGAGTTTTTGTTATTTTTAAAGAGTTTTCATATTCTTGTCTATCTTCTGGGGATAACCTTGCAACATCTTCATTCTTCATTGGAATATATTTCGGCCTCTCGCGAAGTAATCTTTGTTCGTAACCTTCTCTTTGTTCAGGGGTCATCATTGCCAAATCTTGGGGCCTCCAATCTGTAGGGTCTACCCAATTGTGGAAAAAGTTGCGCTTGAGTTTTGGCCGTTCCTCTTCTGTTGGTGGTGGTGCAAGGAAATTAGGTTTAGGAGTAGCAGGCATTGGTGGTGCTATCTCGACAGATTCATTGGGTTGTGGTATCTCTGCAGGCATGAATGGAGTTGTCTGAACAGGAGCTTGAGTCGGAACATCCATCTTATTTTTGAATGTCAAAAAACCGATTTAGTTGATCAGAGTATAATTTGCTTTTTTCCATTGCGCTAAGCTGTGGTGTATCCATGATTTCTTTCATTCTCTGTTCGGCATCATACATGGCATTTACAAGTGGTGGTTGACGATACGACTGTTTGTGTAAAAACTTTGCAATCTCGCCGGAAGTACGTTTGTCTTGAGTCGTTGTTGATCATCTGTTGTCGGCTTTAAATCCAACATCAAATATCCGTGAGGCCGGCTCGTAGCATCTTCATAACTCCTCATAAACTCTTGTACTTTGCCGGGATTTATTTGCCTTGCAAGTATAGAAATTTGTTGTTTATCTCTTGGTGACTTGAACAATAAGATATAACGCGCGTTTAGACTAATATTTCTCATTTCTTTGCCTTGATGAAATATATTTTGGACAATATAGATGACAGACAAATTTCGATGATGACTTCCTGTCGTAAAAAGATCAGAAATACGTTTATCTTTGCCAGATTGAGCCATAAGGTCATCCAATACGATCAAATTCTGTTGCGATACGTCCAAGTAATCCGCATTGTCGATCTCGTCGGGGATGCCTTCATTAACCAGGCATTATCCTCATCATATCAAAATAGGGCGGTTGCCATTGACCATAACACCAAATGATACGTTGAGGAGTAGGACTTATAGTCGTTTGAGCATTCTCCAAGAGAGATTTCACCCATACGGTTTTGCAGCTTTGGGTACATCCTGCAACGATGTCTGTAAAGGGATGCTGCATGACTGTAACCCCATTCACCGTGAGAGTTTGCTGCCCAAGATTACGAGTTCCATATGCATGGACAACCTTCTTGTGGCGAAGGAGATTACTCGCATTTGCAAACGTTTTGCCGCAGATGTCGCATTCATAAGACATGTTTACTTCTCAAGAGTCAGTTTAAAATGATTTAAAGCAAGAGTGAAGAGGTGTATTTATCCCGTTGGTTATTGTCGCGTCTATGAAGACTATTGTAAAGACTATATGAACGACTATAGTCCTGACTATGAAAGACCATAGTCGTGTCTATGAAAGACTATAGTCCTGACTATGAAAGACTATAGTCCTGACTATGAAAGACCACAGTCCTGACTATGAAAGACTATAGTCCTAACTATGAAAGACTCTAGTCCTAATATGTAAGACTATAGTCCTGACTATGAAAGACTATAGTCCTAACTATGAAAGACTATAGTCCTAACTATGAAAGACTATAGTCCTAACTATGAAAGACTATAGTC